GGAGAAGCGGAGAGACAGACCGATAGAGAGAATCTGGAATGAACGACAGGCTGCTAATTATTAAAGCTCTGTTTGGGGTTTTGACATGAGTTTTTCTGGCCCGTGCCAAACCCAGTTTGCACCCGGCACCTCTGATCTCATCTTTCCTCGATTGGTGTTCAGGAGTGCTCCAGGTGTATCTAGGAGTTTGCGCATGTTGAATAGCAGTGGTGGAAAGAGTACTGAAAATCATACTCGAGTAAAAGTACCATAAATTGTCCGAAAATATAGTGTAAGCAGTGTAAAAGTGTCTGTTGTAAATATTACTCAAAGTACCAGTAGAAAGTAGACCTTTTAAAAGTAGTGAATATTGCGCTGTGAAAGGCTAATGCGTTTACATGCAGTTTGTGCAGGGATGTGTAAACGTAACATTCTGTAGAGCATTTAGTGATCTTCCTATATTTGTTCGCTCCTTTTCGCTTCTTTTATTCAATTGTTTGTTCGTCCCTTCATTTGTTCGTTCCTTCCTTGGTTCCTCTCTTCTGTCGTTCGCCCATTCATTTGTTCATATTTTGTTCCTTTCTTTATTTAGTCATTTGTTCATTCATTCGTTCATTCCTTCCTTCTTTAGTTTGTTCAGTCCTTCCTTGAATCCTTCCTTCATTTGATCCCTTCTTCGTTCCTCCCTTCATTTATTCATTTGTTTGTTTATATTTTGTTCCCTTCTTCATTAGGTCCATTGTTTATTCATTCGTGCCTTCCTTTCATAGTTTCAGTCCTTCCTTGAATTTGTTCCTTCCTTCATTCCTCCTTTCATTCGTTCACTCATTGATTCGTTCGTTCATATTTTGTTTCTTTCTTCATTAGGTCCTTTGTTCACTCATTCGTTCGTTCTGTCCTTCATTTGTTCAGTCCTTCCTTGAATGCTTCATTCATTTAGTCCTTCATTTCTCCCTTCATTCGTTCACTCATTCATATTTCGTTCCTTCCTTCATTAGGTCCTTTGTTCATTCATTCATTCGCTCATTTGTTTGTTCATTCCTTTCTTTCGTTTCTTCAGTTCTTCCTTGAATCCTTCCTTGATTCATTTGGTCCTTTCTTCGTTCCTCTCTTCATTTGTTCGCTCATTCATTCGTTTGTTCGTTCATATTTTGTTCCTTCATTAGGTCCTTTTTTATTCATGCATTTGTTCATTCCCTCCTTGCTTAGTTTGTTCATTCTTTCCTTAAATCCTTCATTCATTTGGTCCCTCTACGTTCCTCTCTTCATTTGTTCGCTCATTCATTCGTTCATATTTTGTTCCTTCCTTCATTAGGTCCTTTGTTCATTCATTCATTCGCTCCATAATTTGTTCAGTCCTTCCTTGAATCCGTCATTTATTTGGTCCTTTCTTCATTCATCCCTTCATTCGTTCATTTGTATTTTGTTCCTTTCTTCATTAGGTCCTTTGTTCATTCATTTACTTGTTCGTTCCTTCCTTCCTTCCTTAGTTTGTTTAGTGCTTTCTTGGGTCCTTCCTTCTTTTCTTCCTTCATTCGTTTGCTCATTTATTCGTTTGTTCAATCTTTTTTTGTTCCTTCCTTCATTAGGTCCACTGTTTATTAATTTGTTTGTTTGTTAGTTCCTACCTTAGTTTGTTCAGTCCTTTCTTGAATCCTTCCTTCATTCGGTCCTTCCTTTGTTCCTCCCTTTATTCGGTCATTCCCTCATTTGTTTGTTCTTTCATATTTCGTTCCTTCCTTTTTAGGTCTTTTTTTAATTCATTCGTTCCTTCCTTCCATAGTTTGTTCAGTCCTTCCTTGAATCCTTCCTTCATTCGGTCCTTCCTTCATTCATTCGGTCATTCATGTATTGTTCCTTCCTTAATTTGGTCCTTTGTTCATGTATTCATAAGTTTATTTGTTTGTTCCTTACTTCCCTACATCAGCCCTTCTTTGCATCCTTCATTCATTTGGTCCTTCCTTCGTTCCTCATATTCATATTTTGTTCCTTCCTTCATTAGGTACTTTGTTCATTAATTAATTTCTTCCTAGTTTGTTCAGGCCTTCCCTGAATCTTTCCTTCTATCATTAGTTCGGCCCTTCCTTCCATTCTTCCTTCGTTCCATTTAGTGATTGTTTAAGGCTGTTTGATGATTTCAGTCATCATAGAGCAAACATCCTTCATTTTCTCATCAGTGACACGCAGTCTCTGGGTCAATGTGTGTAAGGATTTTGGACATCTTCCTGGACATTTTAATGCCTTCAAACGGTTTGCTGCATTTATAAATGTCTTGAGGTTATTCAGTATCGTGCAATTTACTTTCTATGTGCTATTTGATTGGACAGGAATCACAGGACTGATTTTTCTACTTTAGCCAACCACCATAGCTAAGAAAGAAATGAAGTAGTGACTGCAGGTAAAGAAAGTAGTGAAGTAAAAGTACCAATACTGCACTAAAAAATGTACTCAAGAGAAAGTAAAATACACATTTTTAAAACTACTTAGTAAATTACAATTGCTAAGGGGGAAAAACTACTCAATTACAGTAATTGGAGTATTTATAATTTGTTACTTTACACCACTGTTGAATGGGCTGAATAAACGTGCATGTAGGTGGCTTTGCGTTATGGCATCTCATGTGCCAACACAGATGCCACAAACACAAAACGTCCTCCCATGAGAAGTTTACACCCAGAAACAAGTTCATGCAGCAGTCCACCAATCACTGCAGGGCACTGCATCCATGGCAACCCTGGCATGCAGACAACCAGTCAATCTAGAAAAGACGTTTCTGGAATTCACTGCCTCCATAACTAAGTCTGTGAGCTCTTTTTTTGCTTAATGTGAGCAAGTTTCCCGCCGTCCAGACACTTTAATCTGTCTTGAGTGCCTGACCTCGTTGACGGGGAGGAACGGCTTTGCATTTTCTTTTATTGCTTCGATCGCACAGGTGTGCTTGGGTGAAGAGGATGTTCATGGCTTTGAAAAGATTTGTCATGATGAAAAAATGCTTGCTGCAGGCAAATGTGGCGTTTCATATTCAGATCCAGCCCCTTACAGCCTGCAAAGGCCTGTCAATCTCGCATTTAAGGTCTGACTTAAAGCGCAAAATTCCCTATCTAAACACACTGCCTGATGTGCTTGCCGTGCAAATATTTATTCAGACACAATTACTAGAGCGTATAAGTGCTCGACTAACAAATAACTGGAAATTAAGTTGCCCAATGCTCGAAACTCAATTCAAAGCTGAGTTTCTTTCTCACACTCTGTAATTATACAGATTTAAAGAAGAAGATCTTAAGCATTCCTCTTGCATATATTATGTAGTGTTTGCGGCAGAAACTCTGTCAAGAAAGCAATCGTGCACTGTAAAAAATAATCAATTAGTCCTGACAGCATATGTTTTAAGTCATATTAGACTCAGTTAATCATCTTCTAACTTAATTGTATGAGCTGCACAAGCTGTTTTAAGTCAGATTAACATAAGTTCCATGGACTTGAAAGGTTGATTTAATTTAGCTTAATTTAAGGCAAATAGGTTTTTTTTTTACAGTGTTGTTTAAACTATCACTTTTTGTGCATGAAAACAATGTAATTTTCGTTTAATCATATTGTTGCTTTACCTCAACAAATTCATTCTGGCTTATTCATTTTGCAACCTTTATATTTTTTTGAAGATGAAAACATTTTGTCTAAAATATCTTGTATACACACTGTACACACTACACTGTATCATTATTATTATTACTACTACAACTACACTAAAAACCCGGTTGCCTTAAATTTTTAAGATGAATTAAATTAACCTTATGAGTCCATTGAACTTATATTATCTTAAACTGACTTAAAACAGCTTGCGTAACTTATAAAATTAAGTTGGAACTTGATCAACTTAAAGTAAACATGTGCTGTCAGGACTAATTGATCATATATTTATTTTAGTGTACATGCTAACCCCCTAAATAAAAATCTAGCGAGAAAACCCTGAACCCTGAGTCTATTTGTCTTGAAACTTTTAATGCCAAAAAATAAATCAACTGTCTTTAAAAATCAATAAGGCAGATATGGTATTGCAACATGATGTGTGACTAAATTTTGGTATTTATACACCTGATTTGCTGATTGTTTCAGAGCTGCTGCTTTTTATAGGATGATGGCTTTTCGATAAAGGTTAATATTCAAGTACAGCTTTAAAATATTATAAAACTAGCAAAACAACATATAGCTTTGAACAAATGACCTGCTGCATTATTGAATGTAGACTTTTAAAGACTGACAGATTATATGATTATATATAACTATATGCTCATCTTAGCTTATTACTCATTTTTTATATTTGTGGATGTTGCCTATACTGAAAAAAACTATATGATCAATAGTCCTGAAAGACTGTTTTTAGGTCATTGTAACTCATTAAACTAAGATAATTATGTTCTAACTTAATTTTATAAGTTAAGTAAGCTGTTTTAAGGTCAGTTAAACATAATATAAGTTCAATGGACTCATAAAGTTAATTTGATTTAGCCTAAAAATTTAAGGTAACCGGGATATAAGTGTAGTAGTTGTAATAATAATGATAATAATAATAATTATTACACTGTAAAAAGTGAGTTAACTTTACTTTTGAAAATTGAGTAAGCACTGCCTATATATTATTATAGATAAATGAGCTGTGCGTAAATATAAAAAATAAGTTACATGAGTTAAGTTGCAAGAGAAATACTTTACATTTAAGTAAAATCAACTTGTCTCTTCTAAGGCAATGTGTTTACTCACTTTAAGTAATTGCTTTTTACACGTGCTATACAAAATATAGTGCTATTGATGCTTTATCCAAATAGCTACACGCATTTTTATAACAGATATTCTCTGCTTTATTGATATTAGCTGCTAAGATTTGGAAAATAGGTTATACTTTTATCCCTCAGCGATGAGTTGTGCTTTTTTTTATTTCTAAACAACTCTCCTTAGACATCTGAAATGTGTTGGCGAAGATTTCTGAAAACAGTGGGAAAGATATTGATTCTCATAGCACGTACCATTGTAGTTCAGGGGAATTTGCCAGCTCTCCTCAAAGACCCATTTTTCTTTAAAACCTTCAGCGTCCAAAAAAAGAGGAGAGGGAGCGGGCGCACCAGTCGGTTTCTTCGGTGATACCGGAAGCGAAAAAAGAACTCAACAAGTCGGGCTGTTTCCCAGAGTTTCTTCCGTCTGAATAAAAAAACGTTAAACAGAAAAGAAAAGAGTACAGCTTTCTCCGGAACGATGGATTATCGACCACTGCTCGTATAACCCGAACTGTTCCGTCAACAAAATAGTGTTTCTCCCGCTGTCATCAACCGAGAGACCGAGCCCCGCTGTCAGCGCCGACCGGGGAAATTCACAAGCTCGGTAAAAATTCTCCGGTGTACTGCTCGCCTGAAGATGTTCTGCGCGACAGTGAGTGATTTTCCTCGTCTTTATGTCCTCAAGTCAGTTCCTGTTCGTCTTGACTGCATCTCCCTTTTTCGATCCACCGACTGTCCGCACCATAACGGGACCCCCGCTGTTACCGGACAGACGAACGCGAGAGGCGTCCTCAAATGCCGTCGCAGTCAAGTCAGTCAGTCACTAACACGGGCAGTGCACATTGCGACAGTCTAATCCGTAGAAGCACCGGAGGGATCTTGCTTGTTGGCTAAAAGCTTATACTGACGCTGCGTTTAAAAGGCACGGGATGAGTAAACGTCCCCTCCGCGTGAGTAAATATCGCTTATCGCCTCGGTCGACCCGGGGTAAGCGGGTCGGGGAGGCGTCGAACTGGTAAATTATTGATCAATGTAGCAACTGGCAGCGTGTGGCGCTCCGAGGCCGGCCGGTGTGGCAGCTGCAGCTTTGGGGCATTAGTAAGGGCTGTGGGAAAATCATGGACGGCGCGGATTACTGAACACCAAGACAGACTGTACACACACACACATACAGGGTGGAAAAAAACAACTGAAATAGAGCACGAGCAAAAGTGCGAACGCACAGAAATAACCAAGAGTTCGAGCTCGCCTGTCTGGTGATCGGCGCACTGATTGTTCAGTGAGATTCAGGGGGGGGGTCGACATTTTAAGAAGAGTTTCTGTTTGTAATATCTGGACGCAATTTGCTGAAGTTCGGTTCGCGCGGTCCAAATTGTCTTTTGGCGCCCCTAGCGCAGTTGTTTGACTCGATTATTTATTACAAGACGTTTAAACAAAACACGATTTTTGCGATTTATGTTTGATAACGTCAAAAATAATGAGAATGTAGGGTATTATGTCAGCTACATTTAAAAATATCCAGCAGCTGTTGATGGTTACCATCTAGATTTGATGGCTATAGGTTTAAGCTATTTATTATAAAATAGTTCTAAGAACTTTTTCGAAAATTCGAACGTTGCTTGGAATGAGTGACGAATAATTCTATCTGGACATATTTCCAATTTGGCGGGTAAAATGTTAAAACTCTACTCTGTAAAAAATTCAGTTTGCCTTAAATTTTTAAGCTGAATCAAATAAACCTTATGAGTCCATTAAACTTATATTATGTTATACGGACTTAAAACAGCTTACTTATAAAATTAAGTTAGAACATGATTAACTTAATCTTAAGTTTAATAAGCTACAATTACCTAAAAACATGTGCTGTCAGGGCTAATTGATCATATAATTGTTTATAGTGTGAAAAGTTCAGATGCAAAAACCTCTAAATCCCGTCTGAATTTTTCTCCTAAAATAAGCATCTTTTTCAGCCTCATGGGTTTATGTTCAGTTATTTTACTTAAAGGCAAAGAAGAGAACATGTTTGCCACTATAAAACTAAAATCACTGAGCCTACACCCAGGAGTCTGCGAAAAATGATAATTGTAGAAGAAAGCATCAAATGGCATTTTGGTTTTTGCATCTAAACTTCTTAATTTTAGTAGTCAACTTAAGACACAGTTTCAGTTCTTGCTAGCATGGCTAGTACTACACGTGAATAGGCAGTGCCATGAGGTATCCCGTACAGCCGGTGTCCCGCTGAGTGCCGGTGTCTCGTGCCATCCTTCAGATTGTGTTACTTCTAAAAAGCCACAAAAGAGCAGCAACAGCCCATTAATAATACAAGAAAGTGCATCATCATAACCTTCCGATGGGAAACCGTCCAACAGGTGCAGCATCACTTATTTATTTGAATTAACAAGAGTTGCATAGCATGTTTATATTTGGGCTTTTATAACTTCAGCCCTGATGGTGCAAAGTAGTCTCATTATAAATGTGATAGCCTTCGATTTTCCTTGATTTGTGCTGATCAAGATTCGTGTATGCAGGACATAAATTGTGATTTAAATAACTTCTGATAGATATAGTTTATTCGGAAGATTAATTTCACAACCCATATTTTCCAGGAAAAGTGTTCTGCTCTGATGTTTCCTCGGCCAGATTTCTTAAGGGGATACATGAACGGGAATGATATGAGCCACATGGTGCAGTTCTTCTTTAATTTACAAAATATGTATAAGGTATAAAACTCTGGATTTCTAAATAGTTTAATTTATTATTTATTTAATAAATGGGCTAAAAATTTAGTAGGCTTACCATAAATCTTCACTCAAAAATTAAATAATAAGCCAAGCAGTTTATTTGAGATTGTATTCAGAGTTGTTGTTAATATAGCTTATAATACATTGGAAGTACTGTACGCTTTTTAATGTTTATTACAAATAATTTAATGAATGATGCTCATGCAAATTTAGAATTTTCTGAGATAATTCACTTAGTCTTTATTATTATTATTATTATTATTATTATAAGGTGTAGTCTTTATAAAAACATGAGGAAGACTAAATGAGAATAAAAATCAATATATAATTACAATGATGTTTAATAATAATTAACTAAAAAATGAAATAATAGATCTTTTTATTATTTGTTCCTGTTATATTGAATGAAAAAAATAATATGAACAGTAAAACAAAATTTATCCCTATATAAATTAATATAAAGCCATACCCCATCGTTTATATATTTATCTTTTTAAACGAAATGATTAAAGTAAAACGTATAATTTAACTCTATGGTTTTGTAATTTTATCCATCTTACAACTGCTCTCTTTTTGTGAAAAGGAAAAAAAACGTATTAATTTTAACACTAACAATGCATTACTAACAAAAAATAACTTATAAAAAATAATGTACCATTTTGTTTTGTGCTTTGTTTTTGAACAGAACTGATTTAAATATTTAACCCTAGTGCCATTTATTTAATGTTTTAACGAACACAAAATATGCGGGTATGGATTGCATTTTATAGAGTAGTTTCATTTAGACATAGATTTAACGAAACTAAAAAGAAAATATCGAATAACAAAATAAATCTTATGATTTTTACTAATTCAATATTCAGATAAAATCAGCTTATATTGTCCAGTGCAGCTAATAGCCTAAAATTCTAATACATTTCCATTCAGTAAAGCAATTTCACACATAAAAAAATTCTGATTTGACATTTGATGATCCAAATGATACATTAATTCAGTGTATTTCAATTAATAATAATAATAATAATAATAATTATTATTATTATTATTATTATATACAGAACAATTTAATCAGCTGAATAAATCCAATAGACTTAAAGTATAGCCTAATGAATTTTACTAAAAAAATTATACTAAATGTCAATAATAATACTAAAAATAATACAAATTATCACTTGTGACTCGATTGATTACTTAAATTAATACTCAACAAAAACATCTTAATAATAATAATAAGACAAAGTGCAATATAACAGATAATTCAAGGATCATTGTTTATTATAGCTTACTTTATTAGGATAAACTCATCGAAAATATTTTCAGCAGCTATTATTGTGCCGCTTTTTAACTATTCGGGGTTTTTACGCCCTATAAAGGATTTACCCATATTTATGGCACCTATATTATGAACACATAAATCTGCAATTGCAAACAGCCACCGAAAAGACAATTCAAGCCCAGTTTTGATCCTCAAAAGGTGCGTTTATAATCTTATAATGCAATTCTGTTAAATGCACGACGTGCGTTTATTGCAGCGGAGCTGAAAACACTGCAACTTCTCTGAGAAATCATCCCCGTTGGCTCTATTTTCACACGGGACAATTAGAGCCAACAGTAAACTCGAGTTTTAACGATGGAATAATGCGTTCCAGGTCGATTTTGGAGAGAACCGGGCTCTCCGGTAATTGCGTTTGCACAGCGCAGGAGAAAGTGCGAGCGACGCGGGTTCAGCATCACTGAAATCCCGCTGCAAGTTAATGAGAGTCTCTGTTCACCGCAGCGCCTCTTAATATGACCGCAGTGCAGCACCGGCTGAACCACGCTGTTTTAATACCTGGCAGAAGACAAGACAGCAGCTGTAATAAACTCTCGGTGCAGAAACCCGACCTGCAGCGGACTGTGAGGCGTTTTTATTCAAATGGGTCACTGGAAATTTTAGCTGCGCTCAGATGCGAGGAATTTTCACAACACCGCGCTGAATTATGACAGCATAGGTTACTATGACTTTACTGTAAAAACAGTGACGATGTTACAAGCATTAGGGGTTTCCATTATACACAATCATCGTGTCGTTATATTTAATAATGCTAATATAATACAGCTAAATCATTCAATTCTATTAATACCATATGAATATTGAAGGTTATCACCGCAAACAATTAAGTCAATGGCTATAGTACAATAAATAATTCTGTAGATACAAAAAATTAAACCTCAAATATAATATTAACAGGCCAAACTGCGTAATTAATTACACGGTTTAAAAATTTGATTAATTTATAGCTTTTTAAAGTGGAAGGCTAATAAAAGCTTTCGTTTACACATTTCGTTAGCTTTTTAATTGTTACAATTGTTATGATCTTATTGAACAACCTAATCATTATTTTAACAGTAAAAAATAGAGAGACACTTATGGCCTTTGAGTTCAATATAATATCAGACAATATTATGAAAACATTAATATTAAAATAATATTACAATATTGGTTTCCTAAATTGTGAAAATATTTACAAAAATGACACTACTCTGTTAATAATCTATACACTCTTAGAAATAATGGTATAGGAGCTGTCACTGGGGCCTTTTCAAAAGGTACAAATTTGTACCTGAAGGGTTCAAATTTGTACCTTAAAGGTACTTTTTAGGTACATTTGGGTACTAATATGCCTCTTTGAGGTACCAATGTGGATTCTTTGGGTACAAATATGTATCTTTTAAAAACTGCCCCAGTGACAGCTCCTGTACCTTTATTTCTGAATGTAATAAACTTTAAAAAGTATTGCTTTTTAAAATAACTGGCCTCTTTCACATTCAGTTATAGATTGCATTATTATTTTGACAATTATTTGACATAATTGACAATTATTTGAAAAATTATCATCACTTTTGCATTATGTTTTTCAGTGTGTTGGACATATTTGCAAGCAAATTGTTGATAAAAATAGTGAAACTTCAGGCCTTATTTAACCTTAATTTAGAGAGCATGATGAAAACATTACAAATAATAATGATGAATTATAGATGAGTGCTGGTTTTCTTAAAGAGAGGAAAGTTGAATGGATTAACAATTATTACATAATATTAATAACAATAATAATAATAATAATAATAATAATAATAATAATAATCTACTAATTAGGCATAGGCCAGAGTAAGATTCTGACATTATGATAATCTTTGATAAAAATATCACGGTATTGTGATAACTGCTCTAAAATATGTGTTTTTAAATGTGTGGGTAAAAAACAAAAAACATTTTCACCATTGAACACAATATATTTTATTCTGGGAGCTTTTAGAATATTTTGGAGCAGTAAACATGTCAGCCTAATGAATTCAAATGAATTATTGACTTCAGCAGTCTTTATTAGTCTCACTGATTTCTTTACTATTTAAAACAATATCTTTGAACATCTTCTCTGCTGGAGATACTGTTGTCTTAAAAAAAACAGAGAAAAAAAATCTTACATATATTGTAGGAACAGTACAGCAGACAATTTTGGCAGTAGAAACGGTATACCTTAAAAACAGTTATCATCCCATGCCTACTACTAATACACACAATTTTTTTATCTGCAATAAACTAACCTGAATCCATAAATTGTAGTGCACTTAATTATAATGAGCACTGCATATTGCAAAGGGAAAAAAATACTGCATTGTCAAAATTTCCAATATCATGCAGCCCTATACTTTTTTGTTTTTGTTTGTTTGTTGTTGGTATTATTATTAAAAACATTGCCAAGTTTCTCCAAATACTTGTAATCCCTTAATTAATTGCAGGGAAAGACGATTAAATATGATTTCTCATGATAATACCGGGACATTAGAAAAGAAAATCTTGGTGTTTAGCCACGTACAAGTCTTAAAAGGGTCTTCAAAAGTCCTAAATTTGACTTAATGAAACATGCAGAAAGTAAAAACAAAAAAAGCTACCCAATCAAGTCGACATCCATCCAATCACCAACAATGCATCACAGTAAAACCTTATTTTTAATGTTTAAGTTGTCAGCATATTCCTCATTAAAATGCTTAATAGGGAAAGACAACCACAAATGATTTCTCATGATAATACTGGGACATTAGGAAAAAATCTTGGTGTTTAAATGCGTACAAGTCTTATAAGGGTCTTCAAAAGTGCTAAATTTGACTTAATGAAACCTGCAGAAAGTAAAAACACAAAAAGCTACCCAAACAGGCCGACATCCATCCAATCACCAACAATGCATCACAGTAAAACCTTATTTTTAATATTTAAGGTTGCCAGCAAATTCCCAATTAAATTGCATATTCAGGAAAAGACAATTAAATATGATTCCTCATGATAATACCAGGACATTATGAAAATAAATCTTAGTGTTTAACCACGTATAAGTCTTAAAAGGGTTTTAAAAATTCTTAAATTTGACTTATTGAAATCTGCAGAAAGTAAAAACTCAAAAAGCTACCCAATCGGGCCGACATCCATCCAATACATCACAGTAAAACTCTATTTTTTGTATATTTAAATTTTTAGAAAATTCCCCAATTAATTGCATATGCAGGAAAGACAACTAAACATCATTTCTTATGATAACATCGGGACACAAGGGGAAAAAAAATGTTAAAAAGTCTTAAAAGGGTCTTCAAAAGTCTTACATTTGATCTGATGAAACCTGCAGGAAGTAAAAACACAGAATTTGGTCACAAAGAAAGCAAAGACCTGCAAACCAAAAAGTGTCTTGCTTGACTTCATCTGCTGGCTGCCGATGTGCAACCACTTTTTTAATCTTGAGAGAAAGAGAGATACAGGAAAACTGCCATATACGAGTCTCCGCTCTTGTTTTAATCTGGCTCTCTAAGTGCAGTTTTGAATTACAAAACATTCTCTCTCTCTCTCTTTTTTTTCCTCCCCTCTGCTTCTTTTCTTGGTATTCTGTAACGGTTACTTCTGCTGTTCACTTTGAGGAGGAATGGAAGCCGACAAGAGAGAAAGAGAGCCAGAAAACCCAAGGAAAACACAGTTACTCCCAAGCAACAAAGTGGCAAGAATGCAAGTCTTGGCATCGACTGGTGCTCTTAACATTTTCTCATCTAAAAAGAGGACGTTTTGAGATTTAAGACAGCCCTGGCTCAAATTAGATTATAATTCACTGCAGGACATCCCCATTACGCAGGTATTGTGTGAAATGGAAACTATATGTGACCCCTGGAGCATAAAACCATCCTGCCTGGGTATATTTTGGCAATAATTGTATTGGTCAAAATGATAATTTTTATCTTTTATGCCATAAATTATTCCCATTTTATGTAAAGATCAAGTTCCATGAAAACATTTTGTAAATTTAGTAATATGCATTGAGAAGCGCATCACGAAGACCAGTGTTTCTCAACCACGTTCCTGAAGGACCACCGGCTCTGCATATTTCCCATGTCTCCTTAACCAAACACACCTGATTCAGATCATCTGCTCATTACACAGACTGAAAGGCCTGTAACAATTTAGACAGACAAAGGAGACATCAAAAATATGCAGTGTTGGTGGTCCTCCAGCGACGTGTTTGAGAAACACTGATGCAGACAACTTTAAAGCAGATTTTATCAGTGTTTTTGATTTTTTTTTTAACTCAAGTTAGGTTTCAGGAGATTGAAAAAAGAAAGATAAAGGTGCATTTTACACACTATAAAAAATTATTGTTGCTTTAATTTTTTTTAGATGAATATAATTTACTTTTATTTTTTTTTAAAGTTAAACTGTATATAACTTAAAAAATGTAGTCGACAAGTTAAATCGATTTGAATTAAAGCAACATAAAAATATGTCTTGATATTTTGTCATAATTTTTCTTTTAGATTTTTTTTCAAACTCAAATCCAATGTTTCCAAAAGGCCAATGAGACAGGAAAAAGTGTGTATCTTCAGTGTAACAAAAAATCTTGTTGCCTTGAATTTGAGTTGAATCAGATGAACTTTTCTAGTCATCTCAACTTACATAAATCAAACTGATTAAAATATTGATTTAAACTTTGTATAACTTAAAAAAATATAGTTGAAACTTCAGTTGAATAACCTATTGAAATATATTAAAAAGCAGCATAAAATGTTGTCTTGACTTTTTGTCCAGTTTCATGAGATCAAAAAAGTGTGTATTTTCACACGCTAAAAATAATTCTTGTTTCCTTAATAATTTTAGAGCGTTTGATTGATGTAAGTTGGTTCATTGTGCTGTGGGGACCCCTGATGAATAAACTTACCATGCCCAAAAAAATATATATATTGATTGAAACAGGTTGAAATTACTAGAAAAAATTATTTGATTTAATTAAAGTTAAGCCAACTTAAATAATTTTTTTTCAATCTCATAAAAGATTGGACTTAAGTTAGAACTTTATTTTTAATTTTAAGAAATTCAGGACAACAAATATTTTTATGTTGATTTGTTTATTTTGATAGGTTAATTCAACTGAAGTCAACCACATTTGTTTAACTTAATGTAGTCTTCAATTAAATTAACCTATTAAAAATTAAATCAAAGCAACATAATGTGTCTTGAATGTCTTTTTTAAAAAAATGTTTTAATTCTAGTCTTATTTTTCATGAGACAAAAAAAGTGTGTATTTACACACTAAAAATTCTTGTTGCTTTAATTGTTGTAGTTAAATCAAATTAAAATTTTCTACTCATCTCAACATACATCAAACTGACATAAAAATATGAAAGTTAAAACTTTGCAAAACTTAAATGTAGTTGACTTAAGTTGAATTGACTTAAAAATATTTAACAAAGTTAAGACAACAAATATTTTTGTTTTATTTTTTTAATATTTTTTTTATTTTTCTCAAGTTCAATCTTCTATGAGAAAAATAATGAAAAACTTTTTTTAACTCAAATTTTTATTTAAAAATGTAGTTAACTTAAGTTGAATTGACTTAAAATAAAGGTCCAAACTACTCTAAATGTTTGACAGTATCAACACAAATAATGTAAAACATACTCATTTCAAAACATATATGATTTACCGTAATCGGTTTTCTTGAGTCTACGTTAACTTAACTTACCGCATTTTACATTGTGGTTAAAGTTATTAATGTTATTTAAGTTAAACAATGTTAGTTCACTTTTACTCACTGTGCATCAACTAATGTTAACAAGCTCAACTTTAGATTTTAATAATGCAGTAAATTGTAAAAATGTTAAAAAATACATTAGCTGATGGATCGTTTTTCGAAAGTGTTACCCATAAACTTTGTACCATGTACAAGAACTGAAGCAAATAATGCCATGAGTTGAGAAAATATAGGCCGCAAATACATAAATGTTCCTACAAAATACTGGAGGGACTGATTTATGCTTTAATGCATTTAATACAATGGATTGCAGCCACATCCTAATATTAATACATTCTAAAAAGTTGTCCTGAAGGCAAAACAAACCGTAGGAGAAAAGGATTACACTTTGGTTTTGCCTTCGCTTGACTGTCTACACAAAGCACCATCACCTCAGGTGACAGGCAGCCGTTTGAGTCTGTGTGTGTGGTAATTTTAGTGAGGGGTGTGGTGAGCGCTTCGTTTATCTCCAGTTAACCACCGCGGGCCCCGTGGTCTGATAGCTGTAGATTTGCCCGGCAGCCCACAGACGCTGGCAAAGCCACAGACCACAGCGAGGGCACTTCAATACGGATAACCTATCTTTATGCAGAACCCTGCTCTACAACAGTCTGAAGCAAAGTGGTTTGGACGTACGTGACCCGAGCCTCAACGTGCACCAACATGGCGGCTGTTGTTTCGTCAAACGCAAACCACAAAACACAGCAAGACTTTTCCTCTATTAGATGGAATATGATGCAGAAAGTAATTCAGGAGGAAAAAGCCTTACTGGATTCATTTGCCCATCAAACAATAATTTACAAAGCCTCCCGATTAATGGGCTTGTTTTTTTTAATAATGGAAATTTGTACTCAAATCTCATCCTATTACTGTTAAAAGGCTTACGAGATTTTCCTCCAAAGCCTTTCATTTATTCAAACAATCTTTAGCGGGTCTGTTTCCCAACACGGCCTGCTTTTTACCACAGGGGAGATTTTCCAAAACACGCTTCAACGAGAAGCCTCAGTCTGAAAATAGTGTTTCAATTTGTGTCATTCTGAAATTTCAGGTCAGAGTTTCCATTGCAGTGTTCATGTTCCAGTGAGCAAACAGTGAAATAATCCCCTCGTTGCATAGTTTTTGCTATTAAATAGTAAAACCATGGCCACATAGTGCACTCATTTAACCTTTAACTGCACATTTCGGGTCTAAAGTTTGGCATGTAAAGCTCTACAATGCTGGCAGGATGCTGGATTTTCGTAGAACATGGAAATTAGCATTTAAAAAAAAATAATCTCTCTGGTTAACCCAAATTTAAAGATATTTTAACATTTTAAAGGGATCGTTCACCAAAAAAGGAATATTCTGCGATTTATTACTCATTCATTTTCCTTCAGCTTAGTTCCTTATTTAACAGGGGTCTCCACAGCAGCCAACTATTCCAGCATAGATTTGCACAACGCATGCCCTTCTAGCCGTAACCCAGTATTGGGAAACACCCATACACTCTCATATTCAAACAAACACACTACTCTTTATTACTCTGTTTGTTCTAAACCCAGAAGACCTTCGCTCATCTTCTGAACACAAATGAAGATATTTCAGATGAAATCCGAGAGCTCTATGATCAGGTAACGAGGGTGCTGAGATGGTCCAAAAAGAAGAACTAACAACATCGCCAAAGCAGTACATATGACTTCAGTGGTTCAACTGTAATCACATGAAGCAACAGGAACACTATGACACTTCAGCTGCTGACTCTTATGTTAATTATTCAATATAGTAAACACACAACCTGTTGCGGAAGAGAAAACAAAGTCAAATAAAAGTCATTAAAAAAAAAATGTGGGTGCTTAAGTCGACCCTCCGTCAAACCTCCTCAGGAATTTCAGCCTGATCTCACAAGGAAACGCAAGTATTTTACGTTTTGTCAGTTAATGGCTTATTCCAAATGTATGATTTTCAAAAGGAGGCGTGGCACCTAACCATAACCGTCATTTGGTGATGAGCAAATCGTACTAAATTGTATGAATTAGATTGTATGAATTCATACGAATTAGCCACTAAATCAAATAGTTATGAATTGCCGTGAGATAGCGTTGAATATTTTGACATAGTTTTTGGCTTCTTATCAGGACTTTGAACGTTTGAACGTACGGAGGATGAGAGTGCTCTCTGATTTCATCTCAAATATTTTGTGTTTTGAAGATGAACAAAGGTCTGAGGGCGAGTAATTAATAATAGAATTGTCACTTTGGGGTGAACTATCTTTTTAAAATCCGATAAAACACTTCTGTTGTACACCCTTATTATTTACACAATGACTATAAACAATGAATGACAAAAACGTCATTCTATTAATAATATATTGTCTGAAACCTAAAAATATTGTTGCCACTAATATAAAAATGTACTCACTATTTACTCTCTCAAGTGGTTTTAAACCTTTATGAGTTTCATTCTTGCATTTACCACAAAAAAAAGATATTTTGAAGAATGCTGAAAATCTGTAACCACTGACTTCCATAGCAGGAAAAACAAATACTGTGGAAATTAATGGTCAAAACATTTTTTTAAATATCTTTTTTTGTCTTCAAGAGATTAAAATATAAGAGTAAGAGTTTCATTTTGGGGTGAGCTATCCCTTTACTTTGAGGTTAAAGTCATACAACCATTCAATCAAAGCTTCAAGATTGATTTTGGAGACACAAATGCATCTTAATTAGCAAAACTTTTTTCTGGCCACAAAGATTATTTCTAGCAATAATCTAAAAGTCCAATAGGAAACCCTACTAGGCTTTTGGTCAAGGGATGTTGATTGGCCAACAAAGCCGCTTCTCTTGGACCAGCTGAAGACCAGGTGCACCTCCTGCAACTCTTCACTGGATTTGTGCTAAAGTTCAGTCTTATCCCGAGGCCTGTCTGTGATTTGTAAACCAGGACCAGCATCTCCACAAGTAACCCAACACAAAGGACGTTCCCTAAAAGCCAAATCATGCACTGGATCAGCGCAAAGTGACCTTATCAGCTGCCCGTGGCGTTTGGCCCGATACGCGCTCGGGGTCACTGCATACGCCTGGCTGTTCTTCAGACTCGCTCCTGTCCCTTTGCTTACAGCCACCAGCCAAACGCAAAACCCATTTGTGTGCCACCAGAGCGGACTTTGAGAGCTTCTCCAGCGGCTGTGAAATTTCTTGCCTCCTGCAGGTTTTGGGGTTGATCTGCAAGCCAGTTGTTTGATGACAATGCTGGTCCTCATTGTTTTCGCTTCTGGACGCTCCTGCGAGGCGAGAGGTCGGACTCCTGGGTGGGCGCCACCGTTTCGGTCGGTCCGGGGCGTTGACTTTGGCTCTCTGGGGTCTTTCAGAGCGCAGCCTGAGGGCATTCGGGCAGATTCTGGGGGGTCATTGGCGTGTGAAAGAGGATCGCTGGATGTGGGATGATAACAATGCTGCGGTGTGTGCATGTGTGTGTTATCTGGGGGTCAGATTTGCAGTGATCAGAGACGCTCTGGAAAGACACTAGGAAAATAAGTTTTGCTGGTTGTTCAAACTATTTAAAATGAGCTGAATAAACAAAGTTCTTTTGTTTTTTTGAGGGATATCTTAATTGTTTTATTGTTCAATCCACTTAAATTTGTAAAAACAATTAAGTTAACTTAATTGATTTGTGTTGAGACAACATGAAGGAATTGATCAGGGCAGCCCATGTAGAAATCTGATATATAGAAATAAA